TTGCAGCAAATATTTGACCTAACTTGTGAGAACTCATTTTCTAGACTTCCTACAATGTCCTCCTTTCATAGCTACATCTGTTGAGCTGATTTGCCAGAAAGAAACTCATCTGCTGGGGTGCCCTAAAGGCCATGACCTTCTGTATCTGCAAAGAAGAGATCAGACTCTCATGCCTGTCCTGGAGCTACATCAGTTACACCTAGAGAGAGCAGCACAGGCAGCTATCACCATACCACAGCCACTCGCAGTGGTGGCATCCCAGCAGTGATGCTCAGTGAGACCATCAAAATCATCAGTGATGCTGTGCATGGTTATCTCCAGGATGATCTCTGAGCAATTTTTGTCTCACAATCATCAGTGATGCTGTGCATGATTATCTCCAGGATGATCTCTGAGCAATTTTCATCGTTAACACTGTCCTCTGTAGATGGTGGCTCAAACATTACTGCGAACTGGTTACCCCTGCAGCACAAGCTGTTGGATCCAGGTGTATTGATAACACTTAACACTTGATGACCTTGGCACAACATCTGGCAAAAGAAACTCTAAAAAGGGTCTATGAAACATAATAGAGTACCAAATATCAGGGACATCTGCTCTGGCACCCTATGTACCCTGCCTTCTCTTCATGAACAAACTGGAGTGAAGCAGAGAGTGTGGTATCTCTCTCTGCCTGCTTCACAGTCACTATCTTGATATTAAAGACCAAGTTTTTCACCTGGCTGGTTAACAAGATTTAGCAACTCCTGTAACACCTGCACAAATTCTTTGCACACAACTGATCTAGTCTAAATCTCCAGATCCACCACCTCTCCAGATCCTGTGTGTTTACATTACCCTTTTCATTTGGTTAGCATGTGATAAATGGCTTGACCATCTCTCCCTAATGCCTCTTGTCAGTGACATACTACATATGTGAAAAGAAACACACTTACCTCCTAAGTAACTGCTGAGCAACCGCAGTGATTCAGACTCCAGACTCATGTTCCGATGGTGCTGAATTGTTGCTCTGTGTGGTCACTCGTATGGTGATTTTGGGACCATCCTGCATGCTCTGAAGATCTGTCTCACTAATGGATAGAGTGACATTTTCATTAGCTCTTTTTACAAGGGCATGTAGTGATAGGACAAGCGGGAACGGGTTTAAGATGAAAAGAGGGTAGATTTAGATTAGACATTAGGAAGAAAGTCTTCCCTGTGAGGGTGCTGAGGCGCTGGCACAGGGTGCCCAGAGAAGCTGTGGCTGCCCCATCCCTGGCAGTGTTTAAGGCCAGGTTGGACACAGGGGCTTGGAGCAACCTGCTCCAGTGGAAGGTGTCCCTGCCCATGGCAGGGGGTTGGAACTGGATGAGCTTTAATGTCCCTTCCAACCCAAAGCATTCTGTGATTCTATGATTCTGTGACTGGTCTGCAGTGAGCACAAACAGCACTGGATGTGAGTAAATGAGGGAAACACCTATGTGCTTATTTTGAAGGCATCTGGAAGCCTGAATGTTCAGCTGCCAATAGTGGAATCGCATCTGTCATTTCTCAGCTGGTGGTGTGGTTTCTTTAAAATTTGGTCCCGGGCTGTGTTTTAATTTGAAGGACAATTAAACTTTATGCACAAATAAGAATCAGATCATATATTAGAGAATCTCTATTGGATTTCTAAGCAGTCCTGAAAGTACATAAACACCTTTAGTGTAGATTGCTTTTCTTACATCATTATTTTGTTCCCTGCCTCAGCAGAACAGGAAAACACCTTCAATCAAACACGTTTTTGGGATAAAAACAAAAGAAAAAAAAAGAAAAGAAAGAGGAAAAAAAAAAAAAAAAAGAAAAAGAACATTGAAATCCTACCTTAAATAAATCCACTCCCATATCTTGGTCCCCTGTGAAGAGCAGCGGCTGTGAAACAGTCCAGAGACATCAGTGTTCAAACTCCGCTGAAACAAATGCAGGCAGCTCACCTCATGCTGACAGGTTCCTCTCATGGCTGCATTAGTTTTAAACCAACAGTATTGACTTCAAAGCAAGCTTTAACCTGATCTGCACTTGCATGAGTGACAGATCAAGCCCATTCTTGGTTCAGCAGCTTGGGCAGTTCAGATTCGGTTCAGCTTAGAAATTTAGCACCAACAGAGGGACTTTTGATTTGAGAAGGGAAGATTAAAGCGTGCTGATGAAGATACCAGGAAAAGAGGCAGAGCCAGGCAATGCCTACAAAGCCAACTGTTAATTTCAGATCCTCTGCAGCTGCCAGCATGTTTTCCCCTACACCCAGAGGACAGAATGATTCTATGACAGAAACTATGAGACCAGAGAAAATAATCTAAAGAGGCAGGAGAATTGGATGGGGAACCACCTTGACAAGTTCAGTAAGGTCAGGAAATGAAGGCTTTCTAAAAGATGAGGTGGGATAAAGGTACAGGAAGGGGCAAACAATTCAGATACTCTGTCAGACAAATCTTGAGTCATCCCACAGCACGAAGGTCAGTTGAGATTTTATGTAAGATAACAAGTTGCTGGAACTGCAGCTTGCCAACAAAAAGTTGGTGTGATTATACTTACATTTCCACTGGATTGAAATATGACAACTTCAGCAGTTTTTATTTATTGAAGGCAGTTCTTCAAAACCTTCTAGAACAATTACAAAGAACTACATCTCCTGAGAACATACATGCCTGAAGATGGAGTACATTCTAGGAAATATGTGATCCTTATGGTAGATGTGCTAATTCCCTAGTAAGTACTCCATTGGGTTTTTTATTTAAGCTAGCTGAAACAGAGTCTCCAAGTGCTGATCAACTCTAAATCTATTATAATGGATGTAAATCTGAAAGAATTCCACTGAAATTACGCTGGTGGAAAAGCCAGTGCCAGACCATAAATAAGCCTCATGGGGAAAATCTAAAAGTCTATAGTTCCTGGGAGCTTTATTATTGCACCAACGGAGCAGGGTTTTCTCCCTAACTGCTTCCCAAGCCCAGGGGTAGCCAGCCTGTACTTTCTCTAATGTGTAAGGGATGGAAGAAATCAGAAGAGAGCACATAATAAATCAACTGGCAGTCTCTGAAAAATAGCTGTCCTGTCTCCTTAATATGAGAGAGAGTAATGTTCTGAGGGCAGGAAGAATTCGGCTTTAGACTGAAAACATTCCCCTATAGGGGGACAAAAAATGATCACTCTGTAGTTTAATCAATCTCAGGCCTCTCTTTGAGGGAAATAGCGTGTTGCTTGCAACAGCACGTGTAATAATGTTTGCTGAAATATAAACTATGGCCGTATACCCCAAGATGAAAGGTCAGAAGTCAACTGAGGATCTGGTCGCAGATGTTCGGCAACAGAGATCAAAACGCAATCTATCAAATGCAGTACTTTTCCTCGAGGAACAGGTTGCAGAAGTTGCTCAGCCCCTCTCCTTCACAGTAAGTGCACTCATCCCCTATGTAACAAAGCTGTATGTCGCAAATTGCCAGGTTACTCCAAGACAAAGTTCACATTTCCTATTTTCTCCTTGTCCTGTGCTTATTTTAACATTTATACAGTGAGTTTATTCTTATCCACAGCTCCCTTCAACCTCTACAGTGTTTTTCAAGTCCGTCTACCAAAGTGAAGAATCATATGACACCATTTAGTCCTCCCCCAGCCCTTGATATATGTTTCCTAAAGCCGACATTTGATATTATGGAATGTGTTGTAATCAATTCTTAAAGTTATAGCACCACTGGATTTTTATTAACTTGCACGACAACAACAACAAAAATCCAACAGAAAAATGGGCCCTCGTAACCAATCAGCCTTGTTATATCCTGAAAGCTGCTTTAACAAGCAGGGAGTAATATAGTGTAATTGGTACTCCACAATTTAATTGTTCTGTTCTTAAATCTAATATTGCAGCTGTGGGTTAAGTTTACACCACAGCTTTCAAGAGAACATGAAAGTGTGGTACATCTGTGCAACAGAAAGCTAAACATCTCTCATCTGATGTGTTTACAATGACATTTGATAGCGTGGAATTGTTTGGAGTTCATTCTTAAAGCTGCAGAACCACTTTTCAACGCTGCAAAAAAGGGAAAAAGCCTCCAATCTCCTCCAAGCAACTCAGCTCACATAAGGCTGGCGACAACGCTGCTGCAGACATTGCAGGGAAACTGCCGGCTGTAACAACTCCTTCAAGCATCTTTGAGCTTTTGTCACTCAGGCAGTGGAAAAGGGGACAAGGACATCTTCTATAATCAGTTATTTGAAAAACAAACCACTCAGAAAAGTCTGCAAGTAAAACAACCTGACAGGCACAATCTATTTCAAGAAATGGTATTAAATGGGTGACTTCAGCACATTTACGAACGGCATAGATTTCAGTTTTACAGGTGGCAGAACTGCTCACGTTATCTCGAACTTCACATTCTGTATAACAGCTTCAGCATTATGTACTTGTTAGTGAATTTATTAAGCCCATAAGTAGCTCAAGAAACGTAGGAATGGGCCCATAAATGTCATCTGCAGTTTGTGAACTGCAAGTATCTGACTGTTTTGATCAAGGCTTTTACGGGAAAGTTAAATGGTTATTAAAATTATTTACTGCTGCCACACGAAAAGGGAGCAAGCCTGCTGAAAAACTTCAGTTGTGATAAGATGTGATAGGCTGTAGGTCAAGCGTGTTAGCAGGAAAGCATTTCTGTTTATGTCCAAGCTCAAGTTTTTGTACACTGTGAAGCTTACAGAGTGCTTAAGTGGCCCAGAAAGGGTCTGTGGAGGGGAGGAGGCATTTTCCCTTTCCCATAATCCGCTGTCAGAAATGCATGATCTAATCAGGCTACTTTTCTTGTCCTCAGCATTAGCCTTTTTCTAACGTTTTCTGTCCTTGTAGAAATGCATGGTAGGGAGACTTAAAGTGGTGACTTTCTGTTCATTCCTTTGCAGCTGTCCACATCGATGTCTTGATTTATCCTCTTTAAGAGATAAAAGTCAGTCTCACTGATGAAGCTCAGCTATATTACCATACTACACTCAAATCCATTCAGGTTTTGGACTTTATTATTTCAGTCACAATTAAGACTACCTAAGCCTCTTCATAAAAAGGGGCCATATAACAAAAGCTGTACATGAGCAACTCGATCAATGGATGCATTCATTCTGCATCAAAAATACCGTAAGAAGGACAGATCTCCTGGGGAGGCAAATCTGTATCAATATTTCAGTCTCTTGAATGCAGAACTTTGATACAATAAGATGCAACACCCGAGCTTCCCCTCCTTTCAATTAACTGAGAAACAAAAATTGTCCTTAGAAGGGGAGAAATGCATTCATATTTTTTAGTTTTCGGGTTTTCCTCCCTATCATAACATCATAATGTTCTCTTCATGGGCGGAAAACTTAATCTTCAAGTTCAAGCCTAGTTTCTTCATACAGTTCGGGATGAGATGCCTTGGAATACCGGGAATATTTCAGTTGTAGAAAATCTCCCAATTCATCCAGAGCATTCAAAACCTGTAAGACCATTATATTGTGTCAATTCTCTTGGAAAAGAAATGAAGTTCTAGTAACCTCTACTTTACAGCAGAACAGGAAGATCATAAAAGCATCAATTAAAGAAAGTTTTAAGGGCAAACAGGCTGATGTTGCTTTCATTCTCCTGTAGTGAATGTCAATGCAGTCATGATGTACAATAGCATCTATAAGAACAGAATTTACTCCTTCAGTAGGTCATGGTCTATTAGTAAGTGCATTAATTAAGCACAGATGAAAAACAATGCTGTTTTTCTAAAGTGCAGGGAGATAATAATCCAGATAAAAAGTTATCTTTGCTTGTGCAAAAGGAATGTGTAAGGCAATACTTCAGTATTCCCCTATAGATCTCAAAGACTGGAGTTGCCACTGCATTTCTTAGATGGCGCTCAGCCCACAGTGCTGATCAGACTCCTCATAAATAGTCTGAATAGTTTAAGATGTTTTTAGTGCATTCCATTTCCTGCTTGTATTAATATCACAGGCATAATTAATCATGCATCAATATTGTAATGCAATTCTCTAGCTGTGCCCCAGTTCTCAGTAGATTCAAAAAGCAGCCAGGGAACTCTATGCCACAAAGAAGTAGCTCAGTGTTTTGCAGCATCTGATCCACATTCAAGAGCAGCCAACCTTTTGCCATCAAAGAAGAAAACAGCAATTTTGATTTTGAGCCTGTTTCTGTTAAGCCACTAAAATGAGCTCAAGAACAAAAAGGAGTAATTTAGTAATGGTTTACGCAGAGAGATAGCTTCAAGGTCATTAAGGAAGTTATTCTTGGGAACTTGCCCTTTCATGGATCTTTCCTCTTTTTAGTTCCAGGCTGAGATTCAAAACAAATTTTGCCAAAGGGAAAAGGTTTCATTGTGCTTGTTACCTGTTGTTACCCTGGGTTTGGGCATATTCACAAAGTGTTTGTCCTAAAAACTTTTCCATCTGCAAGCAATTAAACTCAGGGCATTTCCATTCCTCCATGCCGTAAGGACATTTCAAGAATGCCACAAGTACTACAGCAATGATCCCACTTTCAAAGGCAAAAATACTGCGTGTTCAAGAATGATGGGTGGGGAGTGGGTCAGGCCTTCACTAGCACTAGGAAGCAGCAATGTTCAGGTAGCAGGAAGTGAGCATGCAATGAGGGCCCAAACATGTAGTGGACTTGACATTTGGGGCACAGGGGGAAGGAAGAAAATCAAAGCAGCAAATCAACAGATTAATTTTCAGATCAAATTCATCACCTATTACAACTTACATAAGCCAAAATCTAAGCAGTCAACAGCAAAAGCTGACAATGACCGACACAAGGAGGTAGCTATGCCATGTTCTATGCAATATTCTCTTTATGGCATTTTACCTTGCTAGTAACTGCTGCACCTTTAAGAGCAGCAGGAATTTTACTGCACACATGCAAGGCAGATTTTTTGGTGGTGTTTGAGAGAGGACTGCACCGGTGTGGGAGCTGGTCAGTTGGGCTGAGCTCCAGCCTCCAGCTCCACATGATTCTCAGGATGCAAATGGAGAGGCAAGGGCTCTATGCAGGCACAGGTGCTTGCCTGGATGAAGGGGTGGCATCTTTAACTCAAATGCCTTCTGTGTTCACAGAGTTTTTGCTTTGACTATCATACTTGTGCAAAGAGAGGAAAAAGCCTGAAATTTACTGTTAAGCCTCTGTGTTTCATGCCTTTAGATTGGCTTATGCTGGGAATGAAAGAACGTATATCAAGTCAGGCCAAAAACACCTTCGGCAAGAAAGGGAGATGGAAAATTTCAAAGAGTTTATTTTAAACACATTTCTGACTGCGTCGGAATGAAGGTTTATGGTGGAAATCTCAACATACTCTTAACAGTATGTCTGCTATCAGTGAAAGATACAGAACTGAGACAGGCCAGACAGCACCAATTAAATTTCATTAGGTTCAAACAGTTCCAAATACTCTTTGCCATTTCCACCTGTACCCCCAAGGCTGTCCCATATACTTCTGCAATTCAAGAAGTACGTGGAAACATGGAATAAAAATAAGAGTATGGAAAACTTGATTTTCAATTATTTCCATATCCTTTCAGGTTTCCTACTCTGAGAGTTTTGACTTAGCATTTAACTTTTGTCTTGCTGTGCTCTTCATGTAGGTCTTTATTAGTGATGACAGATTCGGTCACTATTAGAAATAGAAGAACATAACAAGTTAACTGTCCCATAATTTGTTTTTAAAAATAGAATATAGAAGGCTAAAATGCCTTTAAAGATCAAATGACAGGGCCAGGAAAACAAATGTAAAACTGTATTACTGAGATTTGAGGTAACAGACACGCAGCTTCTCCCAACCTCCTTTGCATCTGAAGTTAATTTCAGCAGGCCATCTGCTGTGCTTACCGTGTCTAACATCTCCCGTGTATGTGCAGCGGACACACAAAACCGAGCCCTGGATTCTGTGATAGGAGTAGCTGGAAACCCAACCACAACCACCCCGATGTTTTTTTCTAACATGCGTCTTGCAAAAGCCCTAAGGAGAGAAAAAAAGAAGAAAAGAAACAAAAGTAAATTATCTCCAATAAACTGACCACAGAGAGAAAACATTCAAGTAGAATAAAACAATGGGTAAAATTCTCTCTTCAACTGGAGTGGGTGGTAATAGTCCCATTGAATTCAATAAGAACCAGAATTTTACCAGTAGGACTGAGATTCTTTGCTGCTTAACAGCTCATGAAGACAAGTGGGTGTCAAATACTAGAAGTGTGATGGCAGAGAGAGGACACTGTAAAATAGACATGATTACTTTATGTTAATGAAAGGCTTTGAGTGCAAATTAGAGTGTGGGCATTCACAGTCCCTAAGTACAGAAGAGGCTGGACTTCTGGAAGGTATGAGAAGTGGGTTCCTGCACATCAAAAGGAGTAAAACAGTCTCTGTGATGGTTTCCTTGCTCTCAAATTACTCTGGCAATTTAGGAACCTTTTGTGTGGTACCTAGTAGACCTACAGCACATAGCCACCCTAAGCTACTTGCAAATACTCCTTACAGCTCAACCATTACATTAAACTACTACTGACTTCAGGTATGTGTGTCCAAGTCAGTACACGAGTGCTGCTTGATAGGTACTGAATGGTAAAACATGCAAAGGCTGTTCAATGATCAAATGGGAGAAAAAGAACATCCATCCAAACCAATTCAAAGACATCCATCCAATCAAAGGAAATATAGCTCTTTTAATGATAATAAAGTTAAAAAAATCCAAATTCAAAATGCTATCACAAGTTAAAAAAGGATAAGAGAAATTTAAAAACATCTAAATATTGTAACAGCTCAAAATTAAGTCTAGGTCCAAATTCAAAGGAGAACATAACCAAACAAAGAATTCACCTAACAATGCATGATTCTCTTGTGAAGAAATCTACTGCACATAACTATATTTTTTTTCTTAGTGGATACGAAACAACCTGAATGAACTTGAGCAATGTTTGGCTTGCCAACAGGGTTTTTTTTCAGTACTTACCCTATCTTGCCAGGCATATAAAGGAGTAAGGGGACAACAGGTGAATCATCATTGCCGTAAATGATGAAGCCCATTTCATGCAGTCTTCGTCTGAAGTATCTTGTGTTTTTCCCCAGCTGGCGTACTCTTTGGAGCCCTGAAATGAGTCAGTCAGGAGAACAGTCAGTGCAGGGGTTATAACTGAAGTCTAGGAACAGGCAAGAAATAGTGCTGTGGGTATCAGGTCAAAAAAGTTTGGGTAAAATGTAGGGGTTGCTATTTGATTCGGAAGAAAAACATGAAATGAGCTGAATTCAACTATATTGATTGTTATGACATCATAGGACAGATGATGGATACCTGTACTTTTGAGGAGTCTCCTCATTGGCAAAACCAATCTATGATTCTATGATAAGTAAACAATTCCCTTTACTGAATTCTGCTGAACAAAGCCTACTGAACAACACACAGCTATTGAGAAGTAGTTGTATGTCTCTACGGATATAGGAATGTAAGTAGAATATGTTCTTTCTCAGTACAATTCACTATAAAGGGAAATAACCAATGTCTACAGATGATACAGATGTCAGTACATGCATTATGTTTCTCATTAGCAATGTATCTTATACTCTTATAGCTAGTTCTATGCATACATGTTTGTTTTGTTTTGTTGTTTGTTTTTATTATTATTATTTTGTGACTGTAATTAAGCTTAAAGTAGAAAACATTAAACATTTTGGGGCAGCTCAAACTGATGCTTTTGTTGCAATTTTTTAGATAGAGGAAAAGCATGTGCTAAATTTTGTTATTACACAAGGTCTGATCTTCTGCAGTTTGTTACCAGCATTCAGTGTAACTCCAGTTACTGTAATATGCATCTTGATATGTAATTCCTTGCTGAGTTTTGCTTAGATTCTCTGTCCTCTTTTCTCACTATTATTACCTCAATATCATCATCTGACAACAGACTTTAGTCATTCAGGACTTTCAGACACAAGTTTTGTCCCTGGCCTCATTCAGTCATGAATCTACTGGTGTGTCCCACAGCAAAACTGACAAGAGAGTTGAAAACAACAGTTTGTTAACACAGGAAAACCACAAAAAACAGCACTGAAAAAATGTGCTTGAAAAGTCGTCTCAGCCTTTTCTATTGCAGTGTTATTAAGGAGGTGGTTTCTGACGAGAGCAGTTGCTTTGCCACCCATTGCATACAAAAAGGGAAGAGCCACACTCAACATTACTGTAGGTAGGAGATGTAGTGTGTACTTTTTCCACTCCATCTGCATTATATGTCATCAGTGAGCTGACATATGTACTGCTCTTCCAATCCTGTAAGGTGCTGGTGGGGATGGTGTCACCTACCCTGTACCCAAGTGCCTCCCTGGTGGCAGTCCTATGTTCACGCAGCCACACGATGCATCACACCAAGTCTGTCATCTGCCTGACCTCACCAGAAAGAAACCTGCCAAACCAGTGTCAAACAGACTGATTCTCTAAACCTAATCACTTTGTGGCTGCTTGAGCCTGCCCAGCAGAGGTGGTGGGATCATGTGATAAGGCTGGGATTTAGCGAGACACATCTCAGTTACTTTCATTTTCCTGCCGTTCATCAGCCCATACTTACAATATCACTTACATTATGTCAGCAGGCATGAACACTGAAGCCTCCAGTACAACTCATTTCCTCTTTTTCCCTTTGCTTTTCAGGTGCCTTTCTGCAGATGCATTATGCTTTCACTCTCTATTTACTTTATCATTTTACTTTACTTTTTGTTTGCTTCATTCTTCATTTACTACTTCCTGCTGTCACCCTTGTCCAACTGAATGCCTTCTTCCTAATTTCCCATCTTCCTCCTTGTAACAGCAAGTGGCCAGCCAGTCATTTGAAGCTGCTACATACCACCTTTGGCAGATTTGTCCTCAGACCACATTCTGCCCCACCGCCTGCTGTGGCACATTTCTTCCTATTCCCTCTTGGCTAAGGTGAGGATCACCACACCGACATAAACCTCTTTTCCATTAATCATTTTTGAGCGTGCATAGGTTTGAACAAGATCTACTGCTTCATCTGTTCTGTATCTTCCTGAGTCAAGGTTCTGTCAGTGTTCTGGCTGGGAAATTTATAGGGAAACTGGGACTTGCTTCACAGTGATCAGTGTTTTGCTGAACAAATTAAAAGATCTCATAAAACCAGTGCGTTTGTAACTTTATGCACAAAACTGCCCACGCAGACAACCTGTTAGTTACAGTTTCAGTCATTCAGTTTAAAGCATTCAGTGGAAGAGATCTGCTGTGTTAGAAAAGGCCACAAATAGTTTAACCATCTCTCTAATGCTGCTAAAACAGAAACAGCTGTGCCAGAGCAAGGAAAACAAATGAAACACAAAAGCATCCTACTACAAAGCTTTCCAGTCACTAATAAAAACAATAGTCTGTGGTATTTCCAAAAATATTTTTGGTGTAGTAGATCTCAAAGAACCAGGAGGAAACATTGAGGAGGAGGAGAAATGGGGGCAGGGGAGATGGCAAGGAAAGGCTGTTAGAGAAGAACTGCAGAATAAGGAGTCTGAAGCCCAAAGAGATGCTTTTTCCCTTGTCCGAATTTGTGAAGATGTTATTATCACCTCCTGAGTGCCCAAATTACAAGGAGGAGGGTGGGGGGATAACCTGAGCTGGGGGCTAAAAAACAGTGCTACTTCTTCCTATCTTAGCAGCCCTGAGCTAGTTTCCAAGCTCTCAGTCCACAACATTTGCAACTACTAGATTTGCAATTAGGGAAAGTTTTCACAAATGCAGATGTTCTTCGCCAGTGCAGTTTGAGACTTGCTGCCTTCTCCTTTCTATTCAGCTGTTTACCGCAAAGCTGGAAACAAAGTGTCAGCCATGCAAGATTCCAGGCCCTTTGGTATTTATCAAACCATATGCACATGGCCCAGAGTCGATCAGTTTGTCTCTACTTATTTTAGGGACCGGAAACTTAGACTCCAAAGCAAGAGGGGGAATTCAGCGAAGGAAACATTAGAGCTGAAAGATGAATTTCAGGCAATCCCCCTAAAGTCAAACTCCTCTTCCTTTTCCAGTCTTCCCTTGCTAAACCTATATCCTCAACCAGTTTGTGACGGGGTGGATTCCCTTTTCAAGAATCCCTATGGAGCAAATTTCAAGCCAGCCAGTGCTTGATGCAAAAGAACCACTTTAGCATTTTAGCAACATCCCAGAATAGTAATTTCATTTGCAGGGATGCATTAAAGAGCCAAATAAAAGATCAGAGCACTCACATATATCTGGAGGGAAAAAAAGCATATTGCTACACACACTGGGTTTGTGGGTGGGTGGCTGGGAGGAATCTATTTCTTTACCAAGTGTCAACACTTTCCTTTCTCATGTTAAGTTTTGTGGTCAAAGACCACATAAGCACATCATATACACAGGCATCTTATATGCTGTCCTGATAAGAGCAATAAACCCCCTAAAGTTTGTAACTGTATTTCAACGCTCTTTTTGTTCCTTTATGGGACCCTCCAATGTCAGATAAGGGGCAGATCTGAGAAAAATATTTATTTTGGTCTTGTTGGCCCCATTTTTCCCTCACACCGCAGATTAAATCACTGTAAGAGTGGTGAATAGTTTAGAATCAGATCTTAGTCCAAAATACCAATTTCATTGTGGTATGTTTAACCAAAGGCACTGCATTTAAGAACTCTTTTCTTTGATTCTTGAGGCTGTGATCTTGCATCCTTCATTATTTATTCAGTGAAAATCTGTGGAGTTGGACCCTTGAGCTAGAATAATAGAGCTGCAACTATCTGACTGTAAGAACTCACCCCTATGGCACTAACAAGAGGATCAGGTCCTTAGACAGTAATATATTGGTTCAAAAAATCTTAGTTTGCAAAATTCTTGAGGATTTACATTCTATGCAAATAGCTTATAGCACAGCATGCAGGATGTCCAGATAGCTGTATTCTATAAAACATGGGACCAACAGTACAGCCAATGTTCAGAGAAACCATCCAGGACACGGAAAACTGACTCTTAGCTAATTAAAACTAAGCCCACTAATGCTCCAGAGTCTTTAGCTAAGGTTGAGTATGACCTTAGTAAGAGCTCTACATCTTTTTATTAGCTGAAATAAGAAGGGCCAGAAAGAGAGAAAACTGAATGATGAATGTTTCTTGAATTCTACAAGTTGACAGGCAAAGAAAGTCGGGGCTGTTCAGCCTGGAGAAGCTGCTTGGAGACCTCAGAGCAGCTTCCAGTGTCTGAAGGAGGCCTGCAAGGATGTCAGAGAGGGAGTCTTTATCAGGGTCTGTAGCAACAGGACAGGGGGTGATGGGTTCAAACTGAAACGGGAGAGATTTAGGTTGCACATAAGGAAGAACTCTTTGAGGATGGTGAGGCACTGGAACAGGCTGCCCAAAGAAGTGGTAAATGCCCCATCCCTGGCAGCATTTAGGGCCAGGTTGAACGGTGTCTAGAGCAACCTGGTCTAGCAGGAGGCATCCCTGCCCATAGGAGGAGGTTGGAACTGGATGATCTTAAGGTCCCTTCCAATTCAAACCGTTTTATGACTCTATAATTCTAAGTTATCTTTATGCTGCTTGGAGCTCACAGCAATACACAGCAGCTTACTGGGATTTTGTTGAAATACAGGGTTAATTACCTGGACAGTACAATAAAAACAGATCTACTGCATCTGCAATCACCTACTGCTGGCAAATTTACAGTTTACATTTGTTGCACTGCTTTAAAAATACTTGGTTTACTGCAAAGTTCTAAGGTGCTGGCAACTCTGGGAAAAATGTTGATTATATTTTTATTTGACACACATTTTTAGCTCATTAACTGCTGCAGGCTTTTCGAAGGCTTTATAGCTCAAAATGAATATGGTTTAGTTTAAGGAAAAACAAAAAAGGGAAAGAGAAATGATAAAAGGTAGAGGCTTGCTCATAATTTCTTCGAAGCAACAAGACATTTAAGAGAGCTGCTTAGAGTAAGAGGCTTGGTAGATGCTTTGTCACATGCCAGGCTATGGCTTTGGACCTGCTCTGGAGTTTAACAGCAGGAAGACATTCTCACTACACATCTGAGGACCTGACCGCAGGCCGGTGTTACCTGGCACAGCTCTGTGCACTTCAGTAGAGCTTTGCTATTTAT